GGTAAATGGGATGCGATAAACCTTTTTTTTTTTTTCCAAGCACTAAACAAATAATTAATTAATGTTCCGAGAAGAGTATTGTTTTACTTTATTTTAACAGATTTTGAAAAGGTTTTTAGAAGTGAAAATCAATTTTTCATGGATGAACTGACGATTAGCATATTATCAGTGCATTTTAAATATACTAAAGCTACAAAGAATGTGTTGGTAAAATTTTGAAATTCAAATTTCAGTAAAATGTATATCATTAATAAGTTGAAATTCTTAATATTAGTAATCAAATACTAGCGTAGTATTATCAGCGTAGATTTATTGATGCGTAGTTAATTGTAGATAAGGATGTATATGTTAAACTAGATAAGTGATTAATTTTGATAAGAAAAGAAAATGGTATGATTTAAAATTTAGGAATAAATCATATTTATTTACATTTTTGATATGAGAACTGGAAAGAATATAAGTTTGGATCAAAATTACAAAAAGTGACACATAAAAAGAAATAGTAATACCATGGTACCTTAATTGAGGTAAGAATATAATCTAATACTAGTATTTACTCATATGTATGTGAAATTAAAAAAAGTACAAAACAAGATTGAAAGATTTTCTTTTGGAACTTTTAAATATCAATCACTTCATATTTCTCATTTTATTTATTCAAAAAATTTGAATTTTATAAAAATAATATGTTAAAAATTATGCATTGTACTGCAAGATAGAAATTGAGAATAATTTCTATGAAATTTAACTTTAACTCATTTAGAGTTTATTGATCGTATTTGCTTTTTAATTGATTTGCTGAATGTTTCAAGATTTCCTGCAACTAATTACGGTATACATTTACATTTCACAAATAATTTGTGAAGTGTTAAAATTAAAGTAACAGATAAATTGTAATTTCCATTAGTACACTTATTAGTAGCACTTTATGTTGCGATTTAATTAATTAATAAAAATTAAAAAATTAAAGAAAATAAAATAAAAATTTTCAGCTAATTAACTTGCTCTAATTAATTTGCAGCAAATCTTATGACAGTTAAGTCGTTGACAAATATACGGATAGGTGGACAATAGCGCAATTTGTGTATTGCATTATTCGAACATAAATAAATTACTGGAAGGAGTAAAAGCATTTGAAAAATTGAGAAATCTTAGTCAAATCATCGATATAAGACGTCCAACTGACGTGTGATACGTAATTAATTACATGAAATTTTCTAATTGAGGTGTGATACGTAATTAATTACATGAAATTTTCTAATTGAGGTGTGATACGTAACCATTTATGTGAAATTTTAAAATATGTTATTTGTTAAATAGTAACAAAAATAAGATGAAATGATATTATGCTGAAATGTTTAAATTTAATTATGCTATTTTTTACTCATTTTTGCTTATCTATTAGCAACAATTGTGATATAATTGAAAAATGTATGAAGTATGTACTGAAATATTACTCTAAAATAGTAAAATATTACTCTTAAGAGTAATAAATATTACTTGCAATAGGCTAAAATTGTCATTTGTCATTTTTGTATTGTCAACAAAAAGGTTTGTGGTTGTGTAAACAAAAAATGTGTTGCATTTGTTGGCTTTTTTTTCGCACAAAAGAACCAAAAGTATGTCGAAAATGTGGCGAAAAAGTACTTTCTATTCTATTCTTTTTCAATTGTAAACAAAAAAAAAGAAAAAATTTGTAAATAAAAAGGAAAAAAAACTTACATGGCATATGTATTTGTCGTTCAATTTTTCAACTTTTCTTCCTTATTGATTCTATCTTTCTTATTGTCTTAAAATAATAGCAATAGTATTTGTTAGTTAAATGATAATAATACAATAAGGTTAGCTATAACATTAAGGCTAAAATATAGTTCAGCAATAAATAATATTTAGGTGGTGCAAATGCGATTCACCAAACTTGGCTTTTTAATTTGCATCGGTGGTTCACTTTACTGTTGCATTGGATTTTGTTGTCTATTGTTAGCAAACTTTCCTTTTTTTTTTTTTTTTTTTGATGCTAATAATGTTTGCTACTTTTTAAATTCGCTAAATTTTAAAGATCTATGCGAATATTTCTTCATCACAAAGGATGAAATGGTAGTGAAGAAAACTGGCTTAGAGAAGAAAAAGCCTATCTTTAAAAAGGTTAATTAAGATGAGATGGAGAAAAGAAAAAAAAATCCTATTGGATAGTTATATCAGTTACAATTTGATTATTTTTTTTTTTAGTTTGCTAAGACAGAGGCATTGTCCACTTTGTTATAAAAAGGATTTCGAGAAAGTTGCTCGAGTTCGAAGACGAATTCAATGCTTAGTTGATGATAAATCTGAACTGTATGTTAATTTCATTGAAATTTTTCTGAAATTAATTTAACAATGATTTGCTTTACATCTAAATTATAAAATGATATCATTTTCCTGTTGATACGATCTGTTGAAGATAATTTCCATATTTACAATAGGGTTATTATCTAAATTATTGAACAAATTGTGATAAGCATCATTGTAAATTTAAATTTTGGTATACTTTAATCAGAAATAAAATTCAATTCGAAAATTTTTTTCTAAATTTCATATTTTATTCAAGCATTTAATTTAGCCTTAATCATTTTGACATCAACAATTTATGGTCAATTCAACTTCATAAACATCCATTGATTATTTAAAAAGTTTTGTCGCATTTTTCAGCATAAATGAACAACAAGATGCTCTCATTCATAGCGCTATTAATTGATATTCTAAATGATTGTAGTTGAAGACGAAATTTTTATTTAAAATTAAAATTTTAATTTTACATTCCTTTGAAAATTTGTATCGAAAACGCCTGCATAAATGCGTTATATAATCATTATTTGTCAAACTGTGATTAATTCATTGATAATTTGTTTAAATATAAATAAATGAAATTTTCGTGCTATTTTAAAACGTTTGAAGCGTAAATTTGATTAATCATAATGCACCATACATTTATATTAGCTAATACATGATGAATGATTTTGAAATATCCATATATAAAATTCAGAAAATGAAACAAAGTTGACGAAATATTATCCTTCATTTATCTTTTGTTCATTTAATCCATTTCAATCGATTTCCACAGTATTCTATATTTCATCCTAAGTATGATAGAATTTATATGTGGGAACCCTTTATGATCTAGATTGTACTAAATTGAAAATTTGTAATTACTAAAATTCACAGTTCGAATTAATTGAATTCCACCTTTCCTAAAATTAAAATCATTTTCGTTTTTTCCTGAGGCCAATTAGAAGATTGGTATAAAAATTCTCGTAATTTAAACAGCATGTTATTACAAAATGTTTTGTAAATCTTAAATGAAAAGTGAAGCTTTTTTTTTTACAATTTTAAAATTCAAAGCAATTTACAATTTGTTGAACTGAAGTTGATTGGATCTTTAACTTTTTTATGCCTGAAATTGAAGAGTTCGATTTTAAAATTTAAGTGGTTTAAACATTCAAAAAATTAAAATTGATTTCTGAAATTTTTCGAAATCAGCAAAGTTCTTGAAAGCTTATTTTTTCAAACTTCCAAACAACGACAACACTTTTCAGTGGCCAGAAGTTTATCCAGGAAGAATGACAACCTGAATAAACTAATCGTCTTCTGTCATCTCAATGATATGAACATCCATCCATCGATCCACAGAGAGGTAATCGATCTTTATAAAAAAAAAAATTCAAAATCCCGCTTGTATGAATTTAACGGGCCAAGTTGCGGCTCTGAGTGTTTGGCCTGTAACTTTTTTGAAGCAAGAAATTTGATGGAAAGGGAATTCCTTTTGGTTTTGAGACGGTTTGTGAGGTTTGTGGAGTTATTGATTTTTGTTATTTGATGATTTTATGATTTCACAGGTCACAGGTCAAACATCCTATACGGATATACTGGACCTGAATGTATATTATCGATTAGTGAATATCCTAAACGTTTGTACGGAAAATCACGCAAGTAAATGTTCTGGACATTTACGTAAAAAGTTGTTACCTAGTTGACATTCGGATTAAAATTACTGAAATTAAGCGCTGAATGTGACAAATGAGTATTCGAAAAATTACGTTGAAAGAGCAGAAACAGCAACAGCTATAGTGTAAAATAGATATTTCGTGATTTTTGTTCTGCATTTCTGTTCTATTTTTACTTTGGAGACATTTTAAAACTAAATTTTTAGTTTCAATTTTCAGCTATTTATGACAGCTAGAACAATATCGGATTTTATCACATATTTACTAATATATTACAAAGATATATGCATTGAATGGATTACAATGCCACTTTGGGTAAGCTCTCTTTTTGTCCATAAATTTCTTTTTTTTCCTTTTCCATGTTACTGTAATATTTGGTAGAGATATACTCCATAAATGTGTTACTATCATCTATTTAATTTGCGTAGCATCTATACGTTTCACATTGAATCCATATATCTTATACTATATCAGCCGCTCGTGTACATTCACATATTAACCTATGGACACGTAAGTAAATCTTCCGTTACCAGATCACAGATAGGCCTTTCGAAAGTGTCTATATCTTTGCGTGCCAGTTTAGAATTCCCTAATTCTAATTCATTTCTTTTCTTAAATTGTTTAGAAAAAAAAGGATGGTAGGAAGTTAAGGTAATTGTCCTCTTTTTCGACTGGATGAAGTAAAGGATTCTTTTGCTGCCGTGCCAATAAAGCTACTGTCAAGTGAAATATAACAAAAAAAGGTAAAGAGAGGAGAAAATAGACTTACTTCTTTTTTTCTTTTCAATTTCAACTTGGTTGTGGATGGAAGAGTACCATGAAACACGGCTATCAGCTGGTTGCTCCAGGCAACGAACCATTTAAGGCTTTTCAAGGTACTGCTTTTTGTTATCCAATGAAACAGCAGCGATTGCTAACCAAAGCTTTTCAATGAATCCATAGAGATTATGCTGCACATGTGTATGCTTGTGTGTATATACCTGTTTATATATGTATGCATATACATATATACATATATATACATATATATATATATATATACATGTACATATATATGTTATATATATATATATACATGTATATATATATACATGTATATATATATATACATATATATATATATATGTATACATGTATTATTTCAAGTCACTGCTTTTCGCCTTCGTTACCGTTTCTATGACCATATATTATTTAATTTATTGGCAAGTAATATGTTTGTTGCCATCGGTTGCAGCAATGACATTTATACATTTTATCTGAAAAGCAGAGAAAAAAGAACGAAGAAATTGTAAGGTCAGACTAGCAGATTCAGAAAATATAAAATATTGCAAAAAAAAGAAAAAAAAACCAAGTGATGAGCTTATTATTGAAATAACGTTAAAAGAGAAAAATCCCGACATAATATTTCTCCTTTGTATTATTTTATTGCTGCATATGCAAGACCAATTGGTTATATGCTGAACGATCTGACTTTAACATTCGAGACTTTTTAGTGTTTGATATTAGTTTAGAAAAATATCAAATTCTTTCAAATTTGTTATTTCGATCACCTCTTATATTTAATCATTAATTATTTATCAGGGTTATATATTCGTAATATCAAAGTTTAGGATTTACATCTTTCTTCAATCCTACAAAAGTTGCAGGTAATGGAGGATGGGCTGAAACACTCTTTAGAAATTCGAAGGCTCGGATTTATCGGATCTGAATGCCTCTTTGTGACTCACTTAGCTTAAAAATAAGTAAGTTGATATAAACAATAAAAGCCCAATAATTTCCAAGCCTCGCTAATTGTGGATAGCCAAAGGAAGGGAAAGGCTGAAACTAAATCAGTTTTTGAAAAAGTATTTGAGGTTTTTCTGCGCATGTCTTGAATGCACTGGATAAAATTTGCTTGGCATAAAATAGTATTCGCGCAATATGGAATGAAGCTTGCATAACCCCTAATGGAATTTGCGTAACATGATTTATTGTAACTTATAAAGCTCAGTTTTAAGGCAACTATTCGGAAGTTCAGTTAGTTTTAGAATGCTCAAGAAATTGTTTCTCTGTTTTTCTTTGCTTACTCGTAATTTCACATAATGTTTTTAATTTCTTGTTTGTGCATTTTCAGCTGCATGTAATTCAGCACTTGTTATTGTTTACGTGTTCTATTTTCTTTGCAAAAGAAAGGGAGGGAATGGAAAAAGAAGAATTACAATTTATTTTCACGCATTCCTTCTATATCTGTATACAAGCACTTATTCGTAATAGGCGCTCATAATAACTGTGGAAATATCATAAATATGTCAAGAGTATGTATAATAAGATTATCGAGAACTTCTACTGTATTTGATCTAACACAGGTCTGCAGTGATTTTCGATCATTTTTGCATTACAAGATTTGGCGTTTGACTCTTACATGTCTTGATGATACTGCAATGAGAAAGATGGTTGATTAATGAAATGAGCAGATAAGATATATTTCCGAGCTTTACTTATGCCCATTCCATTGTTTCTTCATTTATTTCTACCAACTCTTGACTCCACTCTCTAAATTCACTGTTAAGGGGATGAATATATTTCCATATTATTATTACTTTTAAACATTTTTCAGATTGTTTTGTCATTCTAACACAGAGTGACCCAATATGCCCAGCAAAAGTGTGTCGGCGTCGATGACTACTATACCTTCGACATCAGGCAGCACCGAGCCGGCAACATCACCGCAACCTGTAATTTATTTCTTACACTTACTTTCACCTTTTGTCGTAAATCATATTTGGTTTTTCAAAAATCCTTCAGTTTAAAAGATTCAGAATGCCACCAAATACTTGGAACTAGCTTGATAATTGAATTTTTATAATTGCGAGAAGTCCAGTACAAAATCGAATTGTGATCGAACTTTATAGTTAAATAGTTGATTAAACAGTTGTAATCCCAATAGCTATCACAATAAACAAGTGGTGTTTAGCAAGTCCAGTATTGTAGCATGATGTGAGAGAAAGTGTTTAGATATCTTGCTTTCTTCATCTTTGTTGTTTAGATTATAATTAAAGCTCTTTAATAGTTAATGAAGAAAGATCAGTTGCGTTCTAGGCTTAAGTTGGCAGTATTACTTTCTAATAATTGGATTTATGGAACTAAAATAAAAGAATTGCAGTCTAATAATTTAACTTGATTGTAGTCGAGTAACCGAAAGTTCGTAATGGAATTCAAATTAAGCAACAGCACTTCCACCTTATTGTTCATTAATGTCCACATTTGTTTAATCCGTTTACTCGTCTTACAGTTATATTTTTGTAAATAATAATATTAGGATATGTATGAATTCCTTGTAAAATTAACTAGTGAATAGGATGAATTTTTATAAAAATAATTTGTAATAGATTCTATAAATAAAATAGGTTAAAGTAATGAATAAGGCATAAAGATTGCTCATATCATTAAACAATGAATATCTCCTAAAAATCGTATAAGGATTATAGGAGTTGCTTTTGCATTAGAAATTATAGCGCTTCTGAACAAGTACAGGATATCAAAAGTTTGGATCGCCTTAATACTGTCTTATGCAATAGCTGATTTGACAGAACAATTTGATAAAATTTGACAAAAGTTCGATTCGTGCAGAATGTTTTCTGATGTCCACTCTTTCCTACTCTACTTTTGTTGATAAAAAATAAACTGGATTAGCTGTAGCTATTCAGGTCTCTTTTCTGAGCTGAAACGCTTATCTTTATCCCGCACGGCACTTTTTTTTTCCTGACGAATTGGAAAAAAAGAAAGTAACAATCGGATGATCGAGTTTTCTGATGAAGCAATGAAATATACTTTTTCTTGAACTTTCGGAATTTCCCCTGTAATTATCATAGCACAGGTGGTTTCCTTGAACTTTCAAATAAAGGAAGTCAGAAAAAAAAGTGGATCATTGGATTATCATAATTCATAACAACTATTAGGAATAACTTATCAGGATTCAATTCATAGAATAGTGAAATCACCAAGGCAAGTTTGAGACTTAAAATGAAATAAATTTTGGTATTTGAAACGGGAAAAAATATCGGAAAGCAGAGAATTGTGATTTTTATCGAAATTTAGAATTAACTCTTTTAATTTAGAAAAAGGCACAAGTGATATTTTTGCAACGATCACCAAAGTTGATTATTAGCCGTAATGGTGGTGAAACGGTACAGCATTTCATCCTCACTCAGCAACCGATAGTTAATGGTAAATTTCTATTATTTTCCTTTTTTATTTTTATATATTTCTGTTCTTTCGAGTATTATTTTTATAGATTACGGGATAAGTAGATCCATTATGCGTCGGAAGCGCAAACTAAAATTCATTAAATCATTACTTTTTTTAATACGAATACTAACTGTCTTTATAATTTGTAATTTTTCTAATATTAAAAATACTTTTCTAATATTAAAATATTTTTTTTCTAGTATTAAAAATAATTTCTAATATTAAAAATAATATTAAAATTTTTCTAATATTAAAAAAATGCGATTGAGTGGTTATAGTAGCTATAAAGACCAGTTTTAGACAATGATAAATTGAAGATTATTCCCATATCAAATGAAAGCTAAGTAAGCCAAAATTGGTAATAATAGTACCCTAATAATCCTCACGAAATATATTTCAAAAGCCTTGAAAGCGGTGAGAGGTTGTACTGATAGTTCGAGTCCTCATTATTTATTTAGTGCAGAAATAGAGATATATTTGTTTTCGATAATTATTAATTGAAAGTAAGAAAAATAGAAACAAAATTCAAATATAAGATAGTATGAAGAAGCACTGTTGCTTAGAAAAGAAAAGAAGTGGCGACATTCAGGCGCGGGACCATCAATCACGAGTTTTTAGAGGAGGGGTAGTCCATGAGAGATGAATCGAAAGGAGCAGGTGCATGTTGCAAATTTATATGTATAAATATAAATTATAATTGGAAGTTAATCATCAAAATAAGCAGCTCGAAAAGCCAATCCTATTTTATCTCGTATTTTTTCTTTATTCGCGGATCCTATTTCCAGTAACACAATAACAACATATGTTCATATATATATATATATATTTACTTGTATTCTCATGTACGGTTGTTCATCCGCGAATTCAATTTACGAAAAATCATGACGTTTTTATATTTAATTAAAATTGAAAGCTGGGAATTCATAATAAAACTCTTATTTTCTTATCCAGATTATTTATAGATCTTCACTGTTGACTACGGGAAATATGATATTTGCATGTTATTTCATATTTCTTTTAAAAAACATTCACTATTTTGTGAGCAGTGATGAAATTAGAAAAGCAATTCAGTGAAAATTTTATTAGAATTATCATTAAGTCATATTAAATTGCTGCTTTATTAACAATGGTACGATTTGAGATACAAAGTCTCATATCGCATTGCAAAGTTCACAGCGTAAGAACTTTTGAAGATGATTTACTTTATTATGGAGAGGTGTGAGATGAGCAGTTAATGAAATTAACCAACTATTAGTTAAAAAAAAAATGCATGAACCCGTGAAAAGTGTTATACATCTTCTAGTTACCTTTAGTGTTTTCCAAAATTTGGGAACACTCTTTGCAAATATTCACCGATCGGCAATTTATCTACAGCTGGTCAGTGGTCAGTCGTCTCATGAATTATTATTGCATGCATTAGATTTTTTTTAAGAGTTTTTTTTTCCCTTTGAATTCACATTAGAGACATAGTAAGTTTAAGAAGATTAGTGAATCCCTTGATCAGTACTGTATTCACATATGTACATGCAACTAATTGAAGTTAAACATCTTTATAATATCAAGCAGTAAATATTCCATACTTGCTTTATGATATACCAAAGAATAAGCGGGATTTGAAGCAATAATTTACTTGTTCCCGTCAGCTCTCAATGTGAACTTTGTTCCGATTGGATATGGAAATTAACCTATTCAGAAAGTAACCGATTCTTTTTTTTTCCCCAAAATCTGGGTTATCGTAATTTTCAAAGACGTGTGCCTTTAGAAATGAGGATGATTGATATTAAAAAAAAAAAATAGGGTATTAAGTGGTATAGCTTTACCTTAAAACGAATTAAATGAAGAAGGAAAGGAAGAAGAGAAAGTAGATTGGCCTTTGAGGCTTTGTTATGACCATTTAGTATGATATATAATACCTGATATCCCGCATTCAAAATAAGATCCACCTCGTTAGGCCTATTTTATAAAGAAAATGCTTTATCTCTGGACAATTTCCCAAATATTTCAAACAAAGAAAAAAGGTAGAAAAGAGGGAAGACTAGCATCGGGATGATTGTTATTAGTCCTTTCGTTTCATTTGTCATTTCCATTTCCTCAATTTCTTTTCGATCCGAAAAGTCGGGCCTTGATTTTGATTGTCCATCATTGTCTTCAGCATCACTACACTTACTACTTCTGGCTTCAAATCTTTGCGAATGAATTTCTACCAGCGTTCTCTGTTTGGGTTGCCGCCATTTCATACAACTCGGTTCCCATGTTGTAAGTATTCTAGACTTATTTCTGCAGAAACTACACTTTCTTCCTGAAATAAGTGATTGAAGTTTGAAACATAATTTCATCTGAATGAATGGATTAAAATTTGAATTGTTGATAATATGGACTTTCCCCGGATGTTGATACTGTTGGGACAGTGTCCGTCATGCAGCTGCACCAATATTGCTATCACCAATTGAATCCTACTCTAAGTTAGAAATAGTTTAATTCTTTGTAAAGATACCGTATTTTTTCAGATAAATAGCAGAAAATTTAGATTTCTAAGAGAAGTTTATTAAACTTAGAAAAAGAACATTGCAGCTGAATTTTCTTCATCATTCAACTGCAGTACCAATAATAAGTTAAAATCTATCACATTTCCATTTTTACTAGGCAGATTAAACCTAGGGATTAAATAGATTCGAAAAGCTCCAATAACACCAATGTTTATTCTTGACACTTAGCGCCAAATATTTTACCTTCTTATCTTCACTGATCACTTTCACGAAAAATTTTTTGACTGAGCTGTATTTCCACCTTGTACGTCACTGCAAAAGTAATTTGTAAAGTTTAAAAAGTTGAACAACATAATGCAAAAAACGAATAATATATGATTTAAAATTAATGAACTGTAAGGAAGATAATACTTTTTTAAAATTGATGAACCGTGAAAAAGGTTATACATTATACAGTCGCTTCACTGACTTCGAGAGCTAAGTAAATTAGTGAGCTCAAGCTATGAGAAAATAACTGTTCCTCATCTTTGGCGGAAATTTTGACGTCATCAAAATATGGCGTAATTGTGAAGAAGGCTTAGAGTCAGAAAAACTACAGAACGTTTAATCCTTGTTCTCCTCACTCTACATACAGTGAAATAGAGAAAAAAAATCTAGTCTTGCAAATATCTTAATTTTTCTCATAGACATAAAATAAAATGATAGAAAGTTGCACTTTTTCATACTTTCCCTTTTTTTTCTCTATGAAAAAAACAACTGATTATGCCTTTTTTCCTTAGCATTTTTTTTATCTAATTATTGAAATAAGCATTTTCAATTATATGCATTGAAGAAGGTAATTATTATTATATAATCACGAAATCTTTTTTCCCCAGTTCATTCAGAAGATAATGTAATATGCAGTGGTAAATAGTGGAAATAAGGTTTAAATCCTATTCGGGAATTTTATTTGAAATATGAGGTGAAATTTCTATCGGTGTTTACTTGTACATTCCCGGACAAGATGTATATTTCCTATAACTTCAAGTAAAAAAGATTGTAGGCTTTTGGTTATTTGGTTTGATTATTAGATGGTAGTGCGGCAATGGTTACATTAAATTATGGAATTGGAATAAATCGATTTGTGAATTGGTCATATGTTGTTAATTAATATTGATATCACATATGATATCATTTCAGGTAAGGGAGAAGTGAAAAAGATTGATGAAAAGAGTGAAAAAGTGAGGAAGACAGAAAAAGGGTAAATGTCATCCAAGCATGTATAGGCTTTCAGATATACCGTAGACGATGAGATGGATATGTCTTAATGTTTCTGCTATTCGGAAGTATCCTGCTAATATCTCCTCTTCATCGCTCTTTCCCTTTTTCTTCATATATATATTTCTGTGTCTTGGCCAATATACTGCTTGCTTGTTTGCCTTGGCTTAAATTGATTTCGTAATGTTTTCATTCATTCATTTGTTCGTTCACAATCACTGCAACTGCTAACATCGTGTACCATTGGTTAATGCTTAAAGGCTATAGCTTGAGAGTATATCCACTGATCATGCTAGCCTACTGTTCATCTAAAGTTTGACTAACAAAGATAATGCAGCGGTAGAACATCTTCATCTTCCTTATAGTTTATATGTGAGATTTCTTCCAGTTTTGAGTGAACTAACAACAGAAATTGTTTTGTTTTTCTTTTGGTTTTTTTTTCCTTTTGGATTTCGTTTTTTTTTTTACTTTTACTTATTCATTTGTCTGTTGCTGTGTGCCTGATGCTTAGTATGTTCCTATCATTCAATTTATCTTCAATTATAAGCGATAGAATAATTTATTGAATCGTGTTATTTAGAGCTTAAGCTTGAAATACCTTATTAAGATAGCTTCAGTTTTATTTCTAAATGGTTTTTTTCACTGTTGTCTACTTAAAGCTCGCATTCATTATTAAATGCTACTACTCTCTGTAAAGGTCTTTTTAGCCTTATTATCATCTAGATCATCTCTCAGTCTTTTGATTACAACTTATGATTGCTGTTTCTCCGATGATATTGTAGTTGGTAAGTACGATATTTTTATGTCCTGAAAGCGGAAATTTTATAAATAGTTGGAAGATTCTGGACCATTTTTCATCGTTTTCAAAAATCACATTTCCTACTCTTTCATTTAAAAACTGGCACAAATTGGAAGAAAAGGATCAAAATAGAGGATGACTGAGATACAATAAGTGAAAGTATGATGCGATTTCTCCGCCATGATTTTTTGGAAATGATTTCTGAAAGATGTGTTTCAGGTTATCATCAGGATGTTCATGAACTCCGGTAGGTTTGAATTGATTTCATACTATCGTTTGAAATTTCGTAATAATAAAATGTACAGAAGCAGTAGTCTGTAACTGTTGAAGTCCTAGAACCTGTTCTTATTGAAAAGAATTGAACTGATAGCTGAAAATTTTTGTGTGTGCTGCTTGAACTTATTAGATCTACCCTCTTATGGCGCTGAGTCATAGTAACAACAAAAATTTTGATCTGTAAAAGCTCAACAATGATTGAAAGAGAGTGGTGAAGGTTCCTTGCTCGTTTTGTTAGTTTAAGGTTATTTTAGATCATTCGAAATAGATGAATAAAGTCCCAGTGTAGCTCGTATTCGGTTTCTAACTAATTCCGTATGCTTTATTATGGTTATTGCTAATACTACAGTTAATATTAATGTCTATATCCATATATATATATATATATATAAGTGCTTATGTGATGTGCATGTTTGTGTCGGACTGCTCACGAAGTAATTAAAGTGCTTTATGTGATGCTGATATGACTGGTAGATAGGGGAAGTTTATTAGCTTGGTCGTGGTGATTACTCTGACACCGATGAAGCCCATTAGCTCAGGTATCTATTACTGCATATGAGTTAGTGTGTGTGTGTGTGTGTGTGTGTGTGTGTGTGTGTGTATGTATGTATGTGTATGTGCTTTATATGGTTAGCGTATATGCTTACAGGGCTAAATATAATGTTGATAGTAATTATGTTGCTTTGTCCAATTAGTCCGATGTTTACGGATGATTTGAATCTGGATTTAGGGAAAAGCAGCAGTCATAATTAAGAGCGGAAGAGTAGTAAGGGCGGTAGAGGTGGAAGGTGGAGGAAGTTTATGCCACCAAAACATCTTCATCCTATCTGATTGGTTAGTGAAGCTGAAATGAGCAGACATCTTAGAAATACCATATGACGATTTTTCCGTTCAAGTCGTAGACATGAAAATGTATACTCAGTTGTTTGGATTATAAGTGAAAATGTAGTTAGTGTTAGAAACAAAGCTATTTCTGATTTTATCAGTTTTCCTGCCCACTGTGAGCATTATATGCGATTTATTACTTTTAAAAGAATAATGAAGCTGATAAGCATATTTACTTACAAACCCTAAAGGTTTGTAAAATTTGGGAGTTTAATAGGAAGAATGAGATTTTTCAAAATTGAGAATTATATCATGATGTATTTATTTTTGTATAGCAATTTGTTTAAGCCGCAATGTAGAATTGCAAAGTATCATAATGAAGAAATGGTAAAATGAGATGCTAAATAACCCGTGATATTGTCGAACTAAGTTATCAGTCTTTGCCACAAATTAGCTACAAAATCAGACGCTGATGTTAAATAAGTGGGGTAAGGTTTAGTTGCCGGTGATATTGAATAACTTGGAAAAGTTTAGTTCCGGAGATGTAGTTAGTAACCTCCTATGTTATTCTTAATTTACATACTGGAGCTGAAATTTTGTCCTTTACTTGAATAGTTCAGTGTTGTTGTCTTACCCTTACTTTATTCATATATTGTAGTTGCTCCATCTACTTTAACTTTATTGGCAATTCAACTAAAAAAACTCGTTGATTTTTGGATATTTAATGATAATGCAAGAATATTATTTAAAAAAAAAGAAAGGAATTTCGCAAATGTTTTTATTGCCTCTTATCACAGATGCCATTCATCCATTATCATTAATTTCTATTGAGCTTATCTTAAAATTATTTGTTTGGTTTTTTCTTTTTTGCTCCACTAATTTTTTTAAGTTTTTTGTTTACATCACTTAATTTACTTACATGATATAATTTATCCTCAGCTGAAATCATTATGGGTTATGCTGCATTTGAGCTTAATGCTTGACCTGCTTAACCTTCTCTTATCCATATAATATTTCTTTTAGCTTACTGCATATGTTATGCCATAATTAAGTTTGGTTGTATAACATTCATGGAAATCGATTGCAATCGTACCGACACATAATTTACCTTTTAAAAAGGTAAAAAGAAAGGAAGGATATAAGCGTACTTGTTTTAAAAACAAATACGTTTATACCTTTCCTTCCTTTTCTGCTAGAAGATAATCGTACAGTCAACTTGTTCGGAAGATTCAATATTGATTTATCAATATAAAAATTAGATATTTTAGTATATTAAGTGGTTCTATAATTGTGTTTGCTCTACTCTGCATGCTTGTCAACTTTTCAAGTCATTTGATATTTACATATCGTATTAATTTTTTATTTTGTACTAATCCTTAGTTTAATACAAATTTACTACGAAAAATTTTCACTTGAAACGGCGAGAAGATAGAGTAGAAGCTATAAATTAGGTGGTTAATCTTTGACTTGTTCAAAAAAAAATGACACAAATGACCCTTTATTAATGAAGTAGTAATAGTCAATAACGACTAATAAAGTTCTCTTATTTTTTCTTTAATATTTTATTTTTTCTTTTCAAAGCATATGCTTTGAAAAACTGAACGAATACAAGCAGAGATATTCGACAGATTTTCTTAATTGCAAAACAGAACTCAGTGGGAATGGGTAGATTTATTTCGTTTCACGGTAGAGTTTCATGGGAAAAACTAATCAACATAGAAGCTTAAATGCGAGAAATGTTCGAGTCTTAACTGAGGAAAGTGCCGATTTGTCGTTTTATTGGTGATGGTCCCTTAATTTTAAGATTCCAACTTTAGTTATTAGCATGAAAAGAACCGTTGTATTTTAAGTATTCTAAAATATTTACAATGTAAGTAATTATTTGCATATCAAAGTTATTTCTTTGATTCATCATTCTGTAAAAGAAAAGTATAGATGGAAAAATTTTTTCCGGCTTGATTTCTTCTGGGCAAATAAGAGAGTTAGATGGATCTTGCGACTATTCAATTTGTAAAACAAAGAAACGACACAACAACATCAAAAGCCTGCAATTACCGCACTGTTTTTATTTTTGTCTGACACTTCGAATAGTTTAATGAAAGTACCTTACTCCAATACCATCATATAAATTGGAACTTAGTAAATTTATAGCTGGAAAAACAAGTTTGAATGTTGCCTGATTTTCTTATTAAGAATGACTTTTCTTACCATCGGACCAGTTATTCTACTTAGATGTCCCGAAAATTTGTCATGATTTTCAATTGAAAGGGATGATTATTTCAGTATCGGATTTCCGAGCAGCACCGACATCAACAGGAGTAGCAGGTTCAGCATCAAACGATACCGTAATCATTGGTACAAGTAGCGGCGCCACTGTTGATACCTTCCGTCAATCAGGAACTACTAGCACCAGCACCAGTCATCATCATCAACCATTGGATGATGAAGTAACGTATGTCACTAACAGTAACAGTTTAACTGTACCCGCAACAACAACAACTACACTTAAACCAACTACTGTAGCTGCAGCAACGGAAGTTGGCTTTTTGACAAGTGAAGCAGAGGGTACCTTGGACACGGTGGTAGTTCGGTCAAGTGATATCAGTGGTACTGACGAGTCACGACAGTTAAGCCTGATGGATGCCTATCCAGTAGGACAAGTGACATCAACGTACCTAAGTTCTTACGATATCAATGCATCGAAGCACCTAATGTGTTGTAGTTGTGTTGCACCATATTTTACCATTACGGTAAAGGTGACTTGCAGTTGGGAAGATGTATTATAACAGCAAGTGATGAGCAAAAAGATCAGGTTCAAAAATGGGACCTTTCCTGCTTAGCCCAAGACCGCAGGACATAGTCTTAAATTCCGAAACCTTTTCTCATCTTTTTATATCATCCAAGACATTATAATTTGTCGATACGCAGAAAATGTCCTATGAACCTTGTGCTCTACTTCCTATCCCACTGTTCTTCGATATCTCCCTTTTCTTTCTGTCTATCAGTTAGGTTTAACATCTTTGTTATCTAGATATTAGATATATGTTATCTAGATATCATATATATATATATATATTGAAATTTAATGATAGAATTTGATGCTGTAAAAAATTCTATTAGAAGCGAGTTTGGTAAGTTAATATAAACAAAACTGAGCATAATCGGTAGTTGAATAATGCTAAGTGGATGCTGTAAATGAAAAGTTGGAGAAGAGATATTATTTTCATTATTTTTAGAAGAGACATTATTTTTATGCTGGGATAATGAGGGGGCGGAAATAAGGTGAAATTAGAAAAAGGAATGATGCATGAGAAGAGGTAATTGTTTTGGGTGAGCTATTTGTACGACCTGTTATTAAATTTGGTTTTTTTTTGTTCAGATTTCTTGTATATTGGAAATGACATAAAATACAAAGATCAGATGGGTGATAAGAAATAGATGATAAGCTGAAAATTTAACGTACCATTAAAAGCTTGGGAGAATTCGGAGTTCGTCATTTCAGACTGATAATCTTTTTTTTAGACCATACGATGTTTCCTGTAAAAATTTTGATATGATCAATTTTTTGGAAAGAAGCAAATAGAAATGTACTACTGGTATTAGACAGTTATCTTATTGTGGAAGGTACCGTTTTTTTATAAATACATTTTAACGAATGTGTTAGTTGACAATTACTAGGTTTGGAATTTCAACTACTGATTTCCACTTTCCTTTTTTCTTTTAAACCGTTGAAAAAATATTGGCACATTTCAATGAGGAGAAAGTGATTTCTTTTTTTATTTGATAATACGTAATTGTTAGAGTCAATAGTAATTTGATGAAATGGATAACGTTCAAGTTTAAAATCATCGTTTAAGTTTAAAATCATTGTGAGGTACTCCGATGTTTTTTGTAATATGTTTTGCATTATAATGTCACAAAATCCTTTAATGATTATATCATCTAGCTACTTCTATCATCTATTAAAATATACAGTGAGTTTTTATCAATTTTAGGCTTTAAACATAGAATTATTCGACCATTTTTAATTTCCTAATGAGTGATTGCAAGAAGATAAAGGAAAAAGTGGGAAAGGTGATTATAGAGTTATTGTTTCAATTTCTTCATTTTTTGATAATTCCTAAATGTGATTCACAGTAAAAAGAAATGGTGCTAAGATATTAGAAATGATAGCGCTGATGGTGATGATGGTAACCGTCGTCAGTAGTGACATTGACAGAAATAGCGTTCCAAGGTTAGCTTGATCGGTTGAGATAGTTGGTTGTGATGGTTGTTGTTTAGCAACTGGAATGTATCCACCTAGAAACAAGGATGACGACCGAAGCTAAGGCAACGGAGTGTAAAGGCTTAAGCTTTAAGCTTTAACGAAGCATGTATCCTGTAATGTTATCGTGTTGATGATGGAATTTGAAAACAGTAGACAATAATGTCGATTTTCTAAAAGCGGTTGTAAACCGATGACAAGTGGGAGAAGGGAGAAAAGGG